CAAAAACCCAAAAAAACAACCCGGGGCGGCCTCCCAGGGGAAAATTTTCCCCCCGCCCGCCCCAAAGGGGTTTTAAACCCCCCCGGAGGCCCCGTTGCCCTCCCCTGAAGGGGGGGGGAAAAAGGGGGCCTGAAAAAAAAAAAGGGGGGGGGGTTGACCCAGGGCCCCCCCCCCCCCCCCCTTTTCACACAAGAAGGAGTGGGGAAATTCCCCGACTCACCCGCCCTGGTCCGGGTGCCTCCCCCGCCCTCGTCCTGTTGCCTCCCCCCCCCAGGGGGGGGTAAAAAGCCCCGAATGCAGGGTCGGTTTCCCCCCCCCCCCCCCCCCCGGGGGGGGGGCGCCCCCCGGCCCTCCTCACCGCCCCCGCCACCCCTCACCCCCCCCTCACCCCCCCTCCCCCGGCCAGGCCAAGCTCATCGCTGACCGGACGACGATGCGCATCGAGTCGAACAAAGTGGCCGCCTAGGAGAGCGGCGGCACGGCGCGCCGTTCGCCCCTCCGCCTGGAGTTGCCACTTGCACCCCCCCCTTTGGCTTGCCATTGTCCCTGCGCGTGGCCTGCACACATGTTGTTGTACACATGAACGCCGGGGCGTTTGGGCCGAGCACGTTTCGCGATCGGATTCACGGCAGTCCAACCATAGTCCAGCTGACAGTCAGCTCCATTTGATTCTTGTGAGTGCTCAATGGAGCAGATCGCGAATTTGAATCGCGTGGGAAAACGAACACAGAGGAGGGACGGGTGGCCCTGCGCCTGGCCGCGCCTCGCCCGCGCCTGGGGGGTGGCGGGGGAGGTGCTGAGCGATTCTAAGAAGTAAGATCAGAGGTCTCTGCACACTGGGCAAATATCGGCCGATTTCCAACCCGCTAAATCATCACGGCCCCGTAACACCCTCCGCGCGTGGTCAAAGGCTTCCCAGGGCCGGTCCATGACATGAACTCCGATAGACACAAGCAAAAACAACCGCACCTCGAAACTTCTCGGGCACCCCGAGGCCCATATACGGCGCCCCGGCGGCGGGCCCCGGCGGTCTGGCTCACAGAAAGAAAAGAAACCGAGTGGCGGAAAAAGAATTTTACGGAAAAGAATTTAGAGACCGCATGCTACCCAAACACTCTCATGAAGGCAACGTAAGCGAGATGGCGAGTGCACACAAAGTGGTGGGGATGTCGCAAGGGAATTCTATGCGAATGAGTGTGACATGCTTCACACGTTCTCTATCGTCCCTAAAATCTCTCCTAATCTGCATGTGATGTGCATGTGCATGTGCATGTGAATGTATCTCCATGCGCTAGTACGCAGCCCGGCCCCGCGAGTGTGTGTGTGTGTGTGTGTGTGTGTGTGTGTGTGTGTGTGTGTGTGTGTGTGTGTGTGTGTGTGTGTGTGTGTGTGTGTGCGCATGCAGGGCATTAAAAGAATGTGGCGTCCATCTCGTACACCTCGGTCTGTGAGCGCCCCCGAATTTGGGCGGCGGCGGAGAGGAACTGAACTAAAGGTGGTGCGATCTTGAAGTAGCAAGTCATCCCCGAGGCGTTGACGCCGTCGTACCCATGAGATTGCACCAGAAGCCACTGCGCCACTCAAATGCCGCGCAGCTGGAGGCTGTGGCGCAGCGCGACTGGCATGCGGCGAGCCGAGGCGACCTTCGGTGCGAAGCTGGGTCCAACTGAAATCGCCGTTGGGTGCATAACGGCAGTCTCCGACTTCCAATCGCCACGATCCCAGCGAAGGCAAGGGGAGCGGTGAGGTCGGCGGTGGCGGCGGGGCGATCGCCGGCTTCAAGTGGGCTCGCCCGGCTCCTGGGAGCGCGCCATGTGCGAGCCAAAGGTTTGCTGGTAGAGCAGCGCGTGCTCTCCGCCGAGGTCGGGCACGGTCAGCTTGAGCGTGGTGCGACCTACACCCGAGCCTGCCACGCATAAGGAGCGCTGCAGTGGAGGCGTTGCCGAGAGCCACCCGCACCGCTAAAGGGCGGCATCTCCCACCGCTGGAGGATCTCCGCCGAGACGGCGTCGCTCGACAGCTGCCAGCCGTCAGTGGTGAAGAACTCGCCGTTGATGACCTGGTTGAGGGAGGGCCAGCTCGCTGGCCGCCGCCCCGTCAGCCGGTCGAGGACCTGCTTGGTCCAGCCCATCTCCGTGTCGAAGATGCCTACTCCACACAGACGGCGCCGTGAGGCGCCGGCCCTGGCACGCCCCGCTCTCGCGCCTCCGAAGCGGGTGCCAAAGCCGCGCTGGTTGTGCTGGATGCCCGTGTACCACATGGAGCCAATGTCGTTCGCCGCAAAGAGGTCGAGGTGGTAGCGGAGCCATCGGTCGAGATCGCCGCTATCGGCCACGCGGCTCTCAAACAGCCAGCAGCCCCACTCCGTCGTGATGACCGGCACGCTGTGGCCATACTTTGCCCGCCACCGGACCACATACTCCACCTCGCGCGCAATCGGCCTCTGCCACCGCTCCTCGTCCGCCCCGAGCGGGTCGGTCCACATCGCCCAATTTAGCCCCACCCCCAAGCCTTTCGGTCGGTAGAAGTGGATCGCGACGCCGACGTTGGGGTCTTCCGAGAACCGCACTAAGGCTGGGGGCGCGGGTGGTGGAATGGAGCACTCTGGGCATGCCCCGCAGCCGCGCCATGTGCACAGGTCCGTCCAACCTCGCGTCTTGCTATCACACCACGACATACAGTTGCCCGAACTAGGGGGAATCGGCTCGTCGGGGGCTGTGCTGTTTGAAGGGGTGAGGTAGGCGTCGGTCACGTACGGGTCGAGCCATTCCGGATCGTTGTAGCCAGGACTGCTGAGGAGGACCGGTCGGGTGGCGTCTTGGGAGCGGATGGCCCGCAGCGCCGCCTCGTACAGCGACATGACCGCCTCATTGGCTTCGTGGGTGGGCGCAAAGCCGATCCCCTCCGGCTCGTTGAGCAGCTCAAAGACGAGCCGGTTGGGGTACTTTATCCACCGGGCGGCGAGGGAGTGCCAGCGCTCTACAATCTGGGAGCGGCCGAGCTCCGGGTCTTCGGCCCACTCGTTCAAGCCCCACAGGCAGACCACGATGGAGAGACCGGCGGAGAGGGCGTCGTCGATCTGCGCGTCGACTTGCGACAAGTTCGCGTTGAAGGGTGAAAAGACGCGGACTGACTCGAAGCCGGCCTCCGCAATGGCCTGAGGGGTCGCTCGGGCGGGTGGGGTTGGAAAGCGCATCCCGTGCTGTCCGGCTGAGAGAGGAGTGAAGGCCCGGCGGCGATCGTAGTGGAGGCGGGCTCACGGCGGAGAGCCAAGGGAGAGGCGCTGGGTTGCGGTGTGGCGGCGGTTGCACCTGCATCTGAGCCGCCTCGTATTGCGTCTTGAACCACACCCCAGCGTCCGGAAGCGCGACGTCGAGGTTGATGCCATTGTGCAGTGGGAGGAAGGGGTCTGGAAGCGGTGCTGCCCGCGGCTGCGGGGCGAGCGGGGGGTGGGGCAGAACCCGAGAGAGCTCGACCTTGTCATGTATGTAGGAAGGTGAAGAACAGTCAGGCTCGGACTGGACACCAACGCGGTATGGGTGGACGCAAGACAGATGATGACGACACGCACGAGCGACACACAGACACAAACAAGCTCACAAGACACACAGCCAGCGGGCTGCCACACATCCTGAGTGGGCGTACACATCACTCAGGCCACGTCCCCCCTGTCGCCCCCCCCAGCACTCCAAGGTGCCAAGAGACAAACAACAGCACAACAACACAGACAGGCGACAGGGGCGAACGTGTGAGACTAGAGCAGGCTTGCTCCGCCTCTAGCAATCTCGTCGCCGGCCGCAAGGCACGGACGAGACCGTGTGTGGGGTCTTGTGAGGTGTCTATGGACGCCCTCCTCACAGGCTATTGGCCTGCCGCTAGCCCTAACTCGCGCTCATGGGTGACGACAGTTCATTGGATGAGTGGTTGCGAGGGAGACAGGAAGGCTCGCCGTGTGAGTTCTCAATACCGGGTAACAAGGGGGCGGGGGGGCTGTGAGTCGGAGTCGGAAGAGGGTACAGGGATGCTCCAACGCGCTGCGGCTGCTGCCGCCCCAAAACGCTGGTGGCTTGCAAACAGCGGCTCCGCACCGCTCCTCGCGCCGGCCTACGCAGCACACCAGCGTTCGGTGCCGCGGCTGCCCATCCCGCCGCTCGGCGAGACGCTCGAGCGCTACCTGCGAGCAGCACAGCCGCTGCAGACGCTGGAGGAGCACGCAGCCACGCGGGCGGCAGTCGCACAGTTCTTCGATACCGACGGGCCCGGGCTCCAGCGCCTCCTCGAGGAGGCTGACGCCGCACTTCCGCACGACTCATCGTACCTCGAGTCGCTGTGGTACCGACTCGCCTACCTCGGGCCCCGCTCTCCGGTGCCGATCCACGCCAACCCGTGCTTCACCCTCGCCCCGCCCTCGCGCCACACGCCGCCTCTGGAGCGCGCCGCCGGGCTCCTCGCCAAGGCGGCACAGTGGGCGCACGCGCTACGGACCGGCACCCTCACCGCTCCGACTGCCAAGGGCGGCTCACCGCTGTGCATGGCGCTGCTTCCCGCCGTGCTAGGGACGGCGAGGATCCCCCGCCAAGGCTGCGACGTGCTCCACTCCGCCTCCGCGCCGGACGCCGCGGCGGTCTGCAGGCGCGGCGAGTGGTACTCCGTCCCGCTCTTCGACGCGACAGGCGCACCGCTCACCTTCGTCTCACCCTCGTCAGAACAAGCACCAGGATGCCTCAGCACGAGGGGCATCGTTCTCCGCAGGCGCACCGCTCCCGCCCGCGACTCTCCTCGACTCGCTGAAGCAGCTGCCGCCGGCCGCGGCGCACGCACCCGCAGTCGGGGCGCTGACGGCGTGGCGGCGCGACGAGTGGGCGGAGGCTCGCGCCGCGCTCTCCAGCTCGCCGCAAAACGAGTCGTCTCTGAAGGCCATCGACGAGGTCAGGAGTCTCCAGCCCGCCGCTCGCGTATCGCTGCGCTCGCTCGTCCTCTCCACCCCTCACCCCCACCCCTCAACCCCCACCCCTCACCCCCACCCCTCACCCCCCACCCCTCACCCCCACCCCTCACCCCCCACCCCTCACCCCCACCCCTCACCCCCACCCCTCAACCCCCACCCCTCACCCCCACCCCTCAAACCCCCACCCCTCACCCCCCCACCCCATCACACCCCCAGGCTCTGCTCGTCCTCTCACTCGACGACTCCGCGCCAGCCTCGCCGACCGAGCTCGCCCGCACGTCCCTCTGCGGCGACGCGACGGCGCCCGACAGCCGCGCACCGCCCAGCTCGCACAGCCCCTCCGCCTCTCCCCTCGCCGCACTGAGGCGTGTGTGTGCGCCGCTCGACCACCCCACAGGCGCGGTGGTACGACAAGCTCCAGCTGCTCGTCTTCGCCGACGGACAGGCGGCCATCAACTTCGAGCACGCGCCGCAGGACCGATCTCTCCCCATATCTCCCCATATCTCCCCATGTATCTCAACTTCGAGCACGCGCCGCAGGACCGAGATCTCTCCCCATATCTCCCCATATCTCCCCATATATCTCAACTTTGAGCACGCGCCGCAGGACCGAGATCTCTCCCCATATCTCCCCATATATCTCAACTTCGAGCACGCGCCGCAGGACCGAGATCTCTCCCCATCTCTCCCCATATCTCCCCATGTATCTCAACTTCGAGCACGCGCCGCAGGACCGAGATCTCTCCCCATATCTCCCCATATCTCCCCATATATCTCAACTTCGAGCACGCGCCGCAGGACCGAGATCTCTCCCCATATCTCCCCATATCTCCCCATATCTCCCCATATATCTCAACTTCGAGCACGCGCCGCAGGACCGAGATCTCTCCCCATATCTCCCCATATCTCCCCATATCTCCCCATATATCTCAACTTCGAGCACGCGCCGCAGGATGGGGCGCAGGTGGTCTCCCTCGCGTCGCACTTGGCCGAGGCGGGCGAACACGAGGCGGGCGAACACGAGGCGGGTGGGCGAAGGCCGGCGGCTCGAGCGGCGCCGCCACGCCGGCTGCGCTTCGACGTGTCTCCAGAGCTCGGCGCTAAGGTTGAGGCGGCGCGAGCCTGCGCTGCGGCCGAGGCGGCGGCGGCTCAACTTGGGCGCCGCCACGCCTCCGCCTCTCGAGCTGGGCACCGGTCGCACACCCCTTGTTCAGGCGGCGGCCCTCGACCTCGACACCGCCACGGTGCGCTCCGTCTCGGCTAGCTGGGCCAAGGGGCGCGGCGTCTCGCTGGACGGTTGGGTCGTGGCCGCTCTCTCGAGCTGGCGCGCAGAGCCCGCCGAGAGTGGGCGAGATGTGGCGAGAGTAGGCGTGGTGCAGCTCTCCTTCCAGCTGGCGCACAGGCGGCTGACCGGCGGCCTGTCGAGCACGTACGAGGCTTGCTCCACGCAAAGCTTCTCGCACGGCCGCACCGAGGCGGCCGCAGTGCCGTGCTTGCTGTCGCATTTGCCTCGCCACTCCCATTCGCGCTCTTGTTGGCCAAAGGTGATCCGGCCGGTGACGCGCGAGTCGGCGGCGCTGCTGCAGCGGCTCGAGGAGGGAGACGCCGACGCGGCGGCGCTGCGAGCGGCGCTCGACGCTCAGCGTCGTCTCGTGGCCGACTGCCAGCGAGGGAAGGGGCACGGGCGGGGCACCGCCTCCTTCCTCGACCTTTCCTGGACGTTTCCTGAACGTCTTGCTGTAGGCACGGGCACGAGCGTCACCTCCTCGCGCTCCTCGTCCAGGAGCGGGAGGCGGGCTTGCCCGCCCCCTCCTCTAGACCCTCTCCTAGACCTCTCCCGGAGCCGTCCTGTAGGCGGAGGAGGCGGGGATGCCCACGCCCGGCCTGTTTCGCGACTCCGGCTGGGCCACCGTCACTGCGTCCCTCGTCTCAACTTCGGGGTTGCGCTCCCCCGCGCTCGGCTGGTTCGCATTCGGCCCGGTGGCGCGGCAAGGGGTCGGCCTCGGCTACTTGCTCTCCCCCGACGGCGTCGCGCTCTGCGCCACTTCCTTCCGCGGCAGCGGCGCACCCCGCGCCGCAGACCTCGCCGCGGCCGTCGATGAGGCTTGCACGACGCTGCGCGGCGCGGTTGAGACGCTGATACCCGCGCCGCAGCCCACCTCAAAGTTGTGAGGCCATCCCTCAATCCGTCGGACTCTCGAATCAACCATCACACACACATTATGGCCACACATCAAGGGACCGACCCATGATGCATGAAGAGTGTGCCCTCAAATAACGCTCAAACACTCATCGCTGAATACTCTGAATATATTGGCAATACTTTCAAAAAACAAATCTTCAAGTCCGTAATGCCGTACTGTATAGTATATTGCCCTCCTTTTCCCGAGTGTTCCACACTTGTCGTTATGACTTAAAGCCGTATGTGTACTGTGCCACACGCTCTCATTTGTGATTTGACCCGATTAGCTGTGTGCTTGGTTCCCCTTTAGGCTTTAGCCGAACCCAGCCATTCTCCCGTCGCGCGTTGGCCAACAGCATCTGGTGCCGGCGTAACGCGCTCCAGGGCAGGTCGGCGTAAAAGCGGCCCAGTCGCCAGTATCCTGGCATGTTGATCCAGTCCGTTCCCCTAAAATTCCACATCCAGTCCCAGCTGTTGTACTGGAACCAGGCTTTCCTGTTTCCGCCCCCGCCATTGAAGTGGAGCGCTGCGAACGAGAAGGTGCTGTTGCGATCCATCCCGTGCGCGAGCAGGTGGCCGTCCCACTCGGAGGAGAGATTGCCAATGAGCGAGGTATTAGTGCTCTCGAGGCCAACCAACAGCTGCTGGTCGTCAATGCCGGCCGGGAACGCGCGACGAGCTTTCGGCACCATCATCTTTGACTGTCGGACCACTTCGGGCAACAATTTCAGCACCTCTGGCAGCCTCGCTATGTTGAGTAGCATCAGAGCAGCGCAGCGCGACGGCCCAAGCTGCGCTGCAAATCCCGGCAAACGCTCCTCAAAAAGCATACGCACATCTGAGAGAAAGACCACATCTGTATCCGCGTAGATCACAAAAGCGTCCTGCACCTTCGTGAGCGGAGGTATCACCTCGTGGAGAAACAAGCGCACGAACGTGCCAAAGGTGTGCCTCCTTGCGAGCCTGAACGGGCTAACAACCGCTGAGAGCCGGCGCTCCCAGTTGACCAGCTTTGGTGCACTCACAACCAACACATCAACATCGACCTTGCTCAAAGAGCCGAGAGGCATCTGCAAAGTGTCGCCAAGCGCGTGTGCGAGCTCCACCCGCACCGCCTCGGAGCCTGGCTGGTCACAAACGACCAAGACACGGACGAGAGAGGACTGAGTCGGAAGCGGAGGGCCGATGTTGGCCACCATTGACTTGAGTGACACCGACAGCTCGCTCACTTGCCCGCTTGAGTTTGTGAACACAGCATAGACCAGCGTCATCACGTTTCCAGTAGTGAAGGCATCTGACGGAGGGGCAACAGCGATAAGAGGAGCCACAAGAGCTGGCAGCGGCGGTGGTGGAGCCTGCAGTGGACTGGGGAACCTCTTGCCAAGGATATCGGTGAATTTCATCTCCATTCCGGCGTCACTGTGCTCGCCGTTGCTGTGCTCGCCACTGCTGCCATCGCCATCGCCTCGGGTGTAGTTGCTGCTACCCCGCAGGATGCAAGCCACATCCGCCCGTGATTCGCAGACCCGATCCGTACGCAAAATAGCGGGCATGCAGCACTGGCGTGGCCCGCCAGGGCGACTGGAGCAGCCATGTCCGCCGCACAGCCCGCACGTGGCGTTGCAGCAGACCTGGCGGCTTGGGTGCACGACGCCGGCCGAGCAGTCGGCGAATCGACGAGAGGAGGCCGTGTGCTCCACGGGCCTGATGGTGAGGTTGAGACGGTGGTGGATTACCAGGCGGTGCGCCTCGGCCGACGGCGAGAAGGACGAGAAGGACGAAAACATCTCTGGGGCGGGTCGAGGCTGTCACGCGCAAGTTTAGCTAACGGACATCGAAAAAAATCAATGATTTCAATCACCCATGTACCGCGTCCTGTGCCCCCGAGTTCATTTAATATAAATACCGTCTTGTCTGCCAACAATACACCTAAAACCCATACCGCGTTGGTGTCCAGTCCGAGCCTGACCGTTCTTCACCTTCCTTCCTATGTATGTTCGTAGGGAGGTGATGAGGAGTCAGTTAGCGCGGCGGGCGGTTAGACGTTACGAGAGGCTCGGAGGTTGGAGGCTGGAGCGGAGCGTGTCTCATTGCGTCAGGCAGGCCCACGACCGACACCCACCGGAGCGTGGCGGTGGCGCAGGGCCGGCCGCACACCATGCCGAGTCCGCTCGTGTTCGTCGACGGGGCCGCGGCGCTGACGGCGAGTTGCAACCATGATGAAAGGCAAGGTGTTCAGGGTAGTGAAGAAATAAGAAGAAGACGACATGGTTCGACCTCGCGTGCGAGATGTGTGTCGCGAAGAGTTGTGACGGTTGAATTTTTGCCGATTTCTGTAAGCTTCCATTTTTGAAAATAGGTTTGGAAACCACCGAGGGGTACGATTCCAAATGAGGCGATGGCACCTGGACCTCGAGGGCAGCTTCGAGGAGAAGGTGCGGGAGTTTGAGTTTGCCCTGTCGCACGGCGACGAGGCGGCCAAGGCGGCCATGTACCGCGCCGCCGCACAGGGCGCCACTAGCATGACGCACGCCATGTCGCGCGAGATCCACGAGGCCCTCGAGAGCGCGGGCGAGGCTGCCCTCGGCGAGACGCGCGCAGGCCACCTGCAGTGCGCCACTCCCATCGTCAGCGATTCGGTGACGCCGAACTGGTCGTACTGCTGCGACGTGACGGAGGCGGCTTCGTCGATGTTCGTCTTCGAGCTGTACGACGAGGACACCCTCTACTCCGTCAACGACTTCCTCGGCGCCTCCTACCTCCGCGCCGACGCCGAGGACGGCCAGTGGGAGCTGCCCGTGGTTGGCGCGCAGCGATTTGGGGGCGACGCCGAGCAGCACGCGACGCTGCACGTGCTCGTGGCGACCACCGACGAGAAGCCTCCGCTCGGCCACATCGGAGAGGACTGCTGGGGCACTTGCGGAGCCTCGGGCGTGTGCCCTGAGTTTTGTGGATCCCACGGAGCGTGCTGCCGCGGAGACGTGGCGGCGCCAGGCTGCCCGCTGTATGGCTCGGACCCCTTCTGGCACAGCTGCGTCGCCGCCGACATGACGCAGCTTGAGGGCCACGGTTTTGGCGGATGGTTCCCCCACCTCTTCCTCCGCGCAGAAGCCGCGCCCGCGCCCGCGCCAAGCGCGACGCCGCCCGATCCGCGGCCGCTCCTGCTGTTGCTTGGTGTCGCCACCGCTGCCACCATTGCCCACGTCGTGCGATCGAGGCGCTGCCAGCCGGAGGAGCGGGCTGGGCCAGCAGTTGCCATGGTCTGAAGGCGCGCGGAGCTTCGAACTGCGTGTCGGGTGCCATTCTGCAGCGTGCGCAGTCTGTAAGCGCGGGGCATGTGGCGCTACGGCTTTATGCGCGCGGTCACGTGCGGTTTACAGTAGGGGCCAGGGTGCTCTGGGCGTGACCGGCGCCCGGCTCCGGGTATTTATTTGTTGCTTTGCACGTTGAGCGCGAAGAAAAAAGGGAACCACGCACTGCTCCACAACAGGTAAAAAACAAAAGAGGCGACAAAGCGATCGGTCTCTCTACCTCTTTCCCGAACGCGTCATGGGACGCGCGCCGTCTCCAAACCGACGTGCGTCGCACAGCTGCGCCCGCGTCACTCGCGGCGCCTCTTCTTGGCGGCGGTGGTCCAGCTGCCGTCCACACCGTGCTCCTCCGCCAGCCGCTGCCTCACGTCGTCGGGCGAGTGGAGGAAGAAGTGCTGCCGCAACGCGGCCGGCGGCGTGAGCGCGGCGGCGCCGCCCCGGGGAGAGAGCAGCGCCTCCCACACGGGCGAGACCGGAGCGACCGTGAAGGGCGTCGGCGGCGCGTCGACTGGCTCCGTGGCGGTGGCGGGCGGGCGCGGCGGCGGCTGCAGCAGCGCGGGCCACGTCTGAGAGCGAGTGACGCGCGGCACGCTCGACTGCGCGCTCAGCCGCGAGCGACGCGCCGCCCCACGCGTGGGCTGGGCGTACCACGCGACCAGCAGCACCAGCCGCTGCTCGGCGATGCTCTGCCCGCCTAGGACACGTCCGTGACATGTCCGTGACATGTCCCACAGCCGCTGTGCTCGGCGATGCTCTGCCCGCCGCCGCCCTTCGCCGTGGCTCTGCCCCGCCCACGGCCGCTGCGGGTGCGGTCGGCACGGGAGGCCCGGCTGCGCGCTGCACCGCCGCCACCACAGCCGCGGCCTGCAGCGCCATACGCCCCGCCGCCAGAGCCGCGGCCCGGAGCCTCTGCGCCGCAGGGTGGGCCGCCGTTGAAGGCGCCCGGCAGGACCCCATGCAGCCGGTCGCCTGTGGGGCATGTCGTGGACGTGTCGTGGACGTGTCGTGGACGTGTCGTGGACGTGTCGTGGACGTGTCGTGGACGTGTCGTGGACGTGTCGTGGACGTGTCGTGGACGTGTCGTGGACGTGTCGTGGACGTGGCGGGAGGGCCCGTGCAGCGTGTCGCCTTTGAAGGTGAGGAAAGAGCGGCTTGCGGGGTGGACGAGGTACGCGCGCGAGCCCGCCTACGACATGTCCGCGACATGTCCACGACATGTCCACGACATGTCCACGACATGTCATGCACGCGCGCGAGCCCGCCTGCCCGCCGAGCGTCTCGTCGATCACCTGCGCGCCAGGCGCGGCCTCGGTCAGCTCGCTCCTTCGTGGGCCAGCCCAGCCCCGTACCGCCTGCCGCCTGGTCGAGGACCATATCTCCCCATATCTCCCCACATCTCCCCATATCTCCCCGTACCGCCTGCCGCCTGGTCGAGGACCATATCTCCCCATATCTCCCCACATCTCCCCACATCTCCCCGTACCGCCTGCCGCCTGGTCGAGGACCATATCTCCCCATATCTCCCCATATCTCCCCATATCTCCCCGTACCGCCTGCCGCCTGGTCGAGGACCATATCTCCCCATATCTCCCCACATCTCCCCATCTCTCCCCGTACCGCCTGCCGCCTGGTCGAGGACCAAGCTCTCGGGCGCCCCGCCGTCGGAGATGGGGGGAGATGTGGGGAGATGGGGGAGATATGGGGAGATGTCGCACCAGGGTCGGGTCCCCGGCGTCAGAGAGGTAGACGACGGAGGAGACGAGCGGGTGGAGCACCTACTTCGACCACTCTTCCTGTGTGTATGGAGAGGCAGACGACGGAGGAGACGAGGCGGGGGAGAGGACCTCTCCTCCCGCCTCGAGCGCGCCCTCCTCCACGTCGTAGTGGAGCTCGTGCCCGACGCCTGTTCGCAGCGAGGAGGGGTGAGGGGGCGCGGGCCACACGGGGGCACGCAATCGTGCAGCCCGCCCCCCCCTCCACGCCTCTCCCCGCCCCGCGGGAGTGCACCCACCACTCGGCGGACTGCGGCGCCACCTCGCCGGCCAGCTCGCCGGCCAGCGGCGCCAGCCGGCGCACCAGCCGCGTGACCACATCCTCGTGCGGCGACGGCGGCGAGGCGAGGTCGACGTACCACGTGAAGTAGCGCTTCTCTGCCGAGGCCGACGCGTACCGCGTCTCGCTCCAGTACGCGGCGCCTACAGGACATGTCTCGGACGTGTCGTGGACGTGTCGTGGCCGTGTCGCCTCGCTCCAGTGCGCGGCGCCAGGAGCAAAGGCGCGGCGCAGCTGCTCGCACGTCTCTCGAGGGACAGCGTCCGGGTACACGCGGACCTGTACTCTCGGGTGATCTCGGGTAATCTCGGTTAATCTCGGGTAATTTCGAGGGACAGCGTCGGGCACACGCGGACCGGGCAGCCGTCGCGCAGCCCCGAGCCGGCTGGAGGCGGCACCTTGCGCGCAGGGACCCTCGCCGCCCGCCACACGCACGGAGAGAGGCGCCACCGGAAGCCGAAGGAGCGGATCGCGCCCTCCGCCTCGGTGGCGTCCCAGCTGCGAGGCGAGGAGGGCGGCGTGCATAGTCGCGAGGCCGACGCAGCGGCGGCGCGGCTCGTACACAAACGCGTCCGCCCAGTCATACTCGCCCTCCTCCTCGCCCTCCTCCTCGCCCTCCTCCGCCTCCGCCTCCGCCTCCGCCCCCGCCTCCGCCTCCTCCCCGCCCTCCTCCCCGCCCTCCTCCCCGCCCTCCTCCCCGCCCTCCTCCCCGCCCTCCTCCCCGCCCTCCTCGCAGAGGGACCCTGGGAGCCTCGACACTCTCCGCCACAGAGACAACGCCTCCTCGGCGTCGCCGCCGTCGCGCCGCAGCAGGGCGAGGCTCATCATCGCGGGCGCGTTCTGCGGCCACGCGGCGAGTGAGGCGCGCAGCAGCGCCTACGGGCAGGGCGAGGGTGGCTCCTCTCGCAGAAGTCCTCAGCCAGGCAGCCATCCGACCACAAGTCCAGTCCGCCTCTGCCTCTCGTGCTGGTGCCGACGCCCGGGCGAGGAGCGGAAAGCCGAGCGCCGCGGCCTTGTCCAGCTGGAGCTCGGCGCGGCCGTTGAGCGCGGCGCTCAGGAGCAGGCTCGGAGGAGGCAGCGGGAGTGCCGCGTCCCGTGGCCAGGCGCACGGCGCTGGGACACGGCCCTCTCCGCCGCCGATGGCGTCGGCAAGAGCCTGCAGTTTCGTGTCTGCCCGAGTGTCGCCAGCCTCGCACGCGTCCTGTGCGTCGAAGAAGAGCGCAAGCAGCGAGGCGTCGTCCATTCGCAGCGGCTCTCCGAGGCGCGAATTCTTTTCCTCTGAAGAAAAAAGACGAGAGAGGGGTTGGGAGGCGGGAAAAGCAAAGACAAGGACCCACGGACGACTGCAAGGGAGGAGCTGCGATCGTCTCGGTCGCTACCTACTTGCCCCCGGCCGGATCTGTGCTACTGAATCTAGATACAAGATACGCTGATGAGTGATGTGTGATGATATCAATCAGAGAGGGAGAGAGAGAGAGAGATTTTTAGGAGCCAACAAGTTCAATCAGAGACCCGAGACCGCTGAGATCTAAGTATGGGGCTTAAGGCTGAGGTGGCAGCCGAGGTAGGTACGCCCTTCACTCACAGCCCCGGCGCCCACGCCTCGACCTTCTTGGGCAGCGGCTGGTTCGACAGGTCCTCTCCGTGGCCAAGGCAGCCGCTTTCGCCCAGACCCCAAGCATAAACAGCGCCATCGGCCGTGGTGGCGAGGCTGTGGAATGCTCCAGCCGACACAGCGACGACGCGCTGGCCAGCCAAGGCCTCGACCTTCTTGGGCAGCAGCTGCTCCTGCGTGTCGCCGTGGCCCAACTCGCCCCAGTCTCCAACGCCCCAGCTCCAGACGCTGCCGTCGGCGGTGAGGGTGAGGCTGTGGTAGCCTCCGGCCGACACAGCGACGACGCGCTGGCCAGCCAAGGCCTCGACTTTCTTCGGCAGCAGCTGGCGCTGCTTGTCGCCGTGGCCCAGCCGGCCACCGCCTCCAGCGCCCCAGCTCCAGACGGCGCCATCGGCAGTGATGGCGAAGCTGTGGAATGCTCCAGCCGACACAGCAAGGGCGCGCTGCCCAGCCAAGGCCTCGACCTTCTTCGGCAGCAGCTGCGTCTCCTCGTCGCCGTGGCCCAGCTCGCCGTTCCCTCCCCAACCCCAGCTCCAGACGGCGCCATCAGCGGTGAGGGCGAGGTTGTGGTACTCTCCGACCGACACAGCGACGACGCGCCGCCCAGCAAAGGCCTCGATCTTCTTGGGCTGCCACTGGTTCTGCTGGTCGCCGTGGCCAAGCTTGCCGCAGCCTCCGTCGCCCCAGCTCCAGGCGGCGCCGTCGGCGGTGATGGCGAAGCTGTGATAGGCTCCAGCCGACACGCTCACAGCGCGCTCGCCGCCCAGCGTCGACAGGAGGCGCGTCGGCGTGTTGAGCTGCGTCACGCCCTCGCCGTGGCCAAGCAGCGCGGGCATTGGATTGTAGTCCGGAGCCGAGCCGCACGACGAGAGCTGCCCCTCGCCGTCGATGAAGAGGCTGTGCCGTTCGCCTGCGGACACCCTCGCCGGCGGGTTGGCCTTGCGCAGGAGCGCGGCAAAGCACAGCCACCGCACGGCGCAGCTCTCGCCCTCTGGCAGCGCCGGCAGCTCGAAGCCGCGCCGTTGCGCCCACAAGCGGATGCCCTCCTCCGCAAGCGAGGCGTGGAAGAGCAGCGAGACGGCTGCGACGCGAGCGATGTCGATGGGGCTGTCGCAGCGAGAGAGGACGCGCTCGAGGAGCTCCCTGGGGAGGTCGAGCAGGCGGGCGGGCGGCGGCGCGACTGGCGAGGGGGCGGCGGCGGCGGCGGAGGAGAGGCGGCGCGGGCGGCGGTGCGGCATGGACATCGCGAAGAAAAAAGAAAATGCACTCGCATGAACAGCTCAGGAGCAACTGCAACCTTAAACTCTCCCTCACACGGGCTCGAAAATAAAGAAAGCTTAGTGCTGGTCGGCAGCGCCGCCTGGGCTCCGTCGAGCTCTGCTAGCTGTCGCCTAATGGAGTGCCGCCGCGTCACGCTCTGGGCCACGCTCGCCCTCGACCTCGCCGCCGCGCTGCTCCTCGGCACCGCCACCGATCCGGCCCGATTCTTTCGCGACGTCTGGCCTCACCAGCGAGCGCTTTTTGGCGAGACCACCCTCGACCTCATCGCCCTCGCCCTGCTGCGCGTGGTGGTGGTCGTCGCGCTGCTGCTCGCCACTGCAGGCCGGGCCGCCAGAGTGGCCTCCTCGGCGGCTGCCGCCTCGCCGCCGCTGCTCGAGCCGCTCCAGCTCAACGGCACTAGCGAGCCGCAGCACCCGGTTGGCGACAAAGGTGGGTGGTGGAGGGCTGCCGTGACGCCCGTGCGGTGCAGCGGCGCGCTCCTCGCGCTGACGGTCGGCTACAGCGCGCTCAAGGCCCTCTTCCGCATGCTCCAGTCCGGCCTCGGCGACGGCTCTTCCTCGGGCTCTCTCCCGACCGGTGGGACGGAGCCGGCCGAAGTCTGGTTCTGGCTCCTAGAAGCAGAATACGTGTTCTTGTATCCCAACTAAGCCCGAGAGGGCCACGTATTCAGCCGTCTTCGGCCGTGTTCCGCTGTATTCACTGTATTCTTCTCCGTTGTACTCACGCGGTGCTCTGAACACGCTGCACAATACCGCATTCCCGCCCTGATGTTGGCGTATTCAGCACGTAGGTTCTGGCTCACGCTGGCGGCGGGGTGCGTGTCGTCGAGCGGAGAGCACGTCCTCTGCAGGCGGCTGCTCCGCCGCGCCGCGGCCGCCGGCGAGGGGGGGGCGGCGGCCCGGGCGGGCGGCAAGCAGAAGAAGAGCGACGACCCCGCCGAGGCTGCCAAGAAGGCGGGAGCCCAGCGGGAGATATGGGGAGATATGGGGAGATATGGGGAGATACGCCAAGAAGGCGAGAGCCCAGTGGGCCCGGAGGCGGGTCGGTGGCGGGTCGGTGACGCGCGGCGGGTGACATGTGCACATGCGCGACGTGTGCCGCAGGCGTACCTCGAGCGGACTGGAGATATGGGGAGATATGGGGAGATATGGGGAGCATGCGACGTGAGCCGCAGGCGTACCTCGAGCGGACTGGGCCGAGGCAGGTCCAGTCCGTGCGCGCCATCTTCGCAATGGTGAGAAGAGAAGAGAAGAGAAGAGAAGAGAAGAGAAGGTCCAGTCCGTGCGCGCCATCTTCGCAATGGTGAGAAGAGAAGAGAAGAGAAGAGAGTGCGCGCCATCTTCGCAATGGCGAGAAGCAGCACTGGCGCCGGAGGAGGGCCGTGCTGGAATAGCAACCCATGCGGAGTCACAATTGCTCAGGTGAAGCCGGACTGGCACCTGATGGCTTTCGCGTACGCGTCACTCGCCATCGCCGCCGCCGGGGACACGTCGATCCCCTTCCTGTACGGCCAACTCATCGACGCGATCGCAATCTCGCGCGACGTGGGCAAGTTCCAGCAGTACATGCTGCTGCTCGTCGGCACCGCCCTCGTCACCGGCGTCTTCACCGGATTCCGAGGCTCCACCTTCATCGTCATCGGCGGCCGCTTCTCAGTGCGGCTGAGGCAGCGCCTGTTCGCCTCGCTGCTGCGGCAGGAGCTCGACTTCTTCTCCGCCGTCCGCACGGGCGACATCACCTCGCGCCTCTCTGCAGACTGCCAAAAGGTGGGCGACCAGGTGCAACTCAACGTCAACGTCTTCCTGCGCTCCGTCATCCAGGCCCTCTCCCTCCCCTCCTCCTCTCCCTCGCCTCCTCCCGCCACCCCACCATCGACCCGCCACACCCTAACGAGCGCACGGCGGCTAATCCCCTCCTCGAGCGCCCGTGCTCCCCCTCTCACCACAAGCTCCCCGAAAAGGGGGCCGTCGCAGCTTTCTTTTCTGTCTCGTCACCGCCCGCTCTCCCGCAGGTGCTGCTCGATGACGTGCCCATCTCTCGGCTCGACCCGGGCTGGTTCCACCGGCAAGTTGCGCTGGTGGGGCAGGAGCCCGTCCTCTTCGCCCGCTCGATCGAGGACAACATCTGCTACGGCCTCGGCGAGCGCGGGGAGGGGCGGCCCTCGACAGAGGAGGTGCACGCCGCCGCGCAGCTCGCCAGGACATGTCCTGGACAGGTCCGTGACATGAACATGCACATGTACATGTACATGTCGCAGGTGCACGCCGCCGCGCAGCTCGCCAACGCGCACGACTTCGTCTCCGGCTTTGACCTCGGCTGCGGCGCGCCGGCTGGCACGAGGAGCGCCCCTTCACCACTGAGCGGCGTGAGCAGGCTTCGAGCTCGGCTACGCCACGCCCGTCGGCGAGCGGGGCGCGCAGTTGAGCGGCGGGCAGAAGCAGCGCATCGCGATCGCGCGCGCGCTGGTGCGGCACCCGTGTGTCGCGTGCTCTCTCCCCGCCATCTCCCCGCATCTCCCCGCATCTCCCCGCATCTCCCCGCATCTCCCCGCATCTCCCCGCATCTCCCCGCAGGTGCGGCACCCGTGCGTGCTGCTGCTCGACGAGGCGCCGAGAAGAGAAGAGAAGAGAAGAAAAGAGCGTGCTGCTGCTTGCGAGGCACCGAGCTGCAGCTATCTCCCCGTATTCCCCATATCTCCCCCTATCTCCCCTATCTCCCCGTATCTCCCCACATCTCCCGTGCTGCTGCTCGACGAGGCGCCGAGCTGCGGCGCGGGCGCGGGCGCGGAGTTGCGCCGCAGCCTCACCGCGGCCCTTTGCCGTCCGCTCAGGCGACGAGCGCGCTCGACGCGGAGAGCGAGGCGGTGGTGCAGGCGGCGATCGACTCCATGATTGCGCAGGGCGGGATGACGGTGGTCGTCATCGCGCACCGGCTGTCGACCATCCGGAACGCCGACCGCATCTGCGTCGTCAAGGGGGGGAGGGTCGCCGAGGAGGGCCCGCACCACGAGCTCATGACAAGGCCGGCGGGCGTCTACGCGAAGCTCGTCTCGAAGCAGATGGCGCTCCACTCGGGCTCGACCGGCTCCCTCTCCGGCGCCGGTGGCAGCGCGGCAAACCTGGACGCGGGAGGGCAGGAGGCATGACGGAGGCTTGCGCCGCGAGCCAGCCGCGAGCCAGTATTGTAGCGAACGCGCTCTTTCTCCCCACGTTTCCTGAAAGAGCGGCCCGGAGTTGACGCTCTCTCGCAGCTCGGCCCGCCGCCCCTTGCCGGTTGGCCCGCGTTTTGGCCGCAGATAGCACACGGCGGCTTGTCTCGTTGTTGTGCAGACTGTGCGGGGAGAAGCAGAGGCCACGCGAAATCCTTTATTGCGCTCACTCGCACCGCGCGAACACCTGTGGCTGTGCGCTGCAGTGGGTGCACGGGCCTCGCACGCTTGACGCTGGCGGCGCGGGGCGGCCGGCGCGCGCCGCCGTAGATCCACTTGGAGCACTTGGAGTGCAGTCATCAACCTGCGAACCTCATTTTTTACGAGCTAAGAAGGGGCACAAGCTAAGTTCCATTTCACTGTGGCACAGCTCGCGTTACAAACCTTGATTGTGACCATTTGCGCCATTTCGTACCTCTCGGTGCCTTCCAGAGGCGAGCCGTGAGAGGGTGCAGGCCGAAACCACAGCCGCTAACGTCCGTGTGGCCGAACGGGACCAAACTTTCGCCGCCGGGTCCCGGGCCACGGGTAATGGGGCCGATCCCGCATTTTCCCCGCAGCTTACTCGACGCTCTTGTGCCCCGAACTTTCCTCCCCCCGTCCCGAGCACGACCAGAGCTGCTCCGGCGTGGTTTGGAGCGAGGTACGGGTGGCGGCGGGTTCGAGTAAGCTGCGGGGGAAATGCGGGATCCTCCCCATTTCATAGGTGCTCCAACGCCCTAGCCGGCTCGGGAGCACTGTCCTGCCCGTTATATGCGCACCCGCTTACGCTTTTAGGCTCTCCGGCGGCCTCAGGGGCCTTGCCGAGGGCTGCTCCAGCGAGGTCACAGTGCCGTGGAGCCGGCCAGCGTGCTCGCAGCCATGCCGCTGGTGGACCATGCCCGCCTCCCGCCCGGCGGCTCCAACCACAGCCCGCCTCACCGTCGGCGAAGCACCTCGGGGCCTTCGCGGCTGCATCGTCTGTCCGGCTCCACGAGGCCTTTGATTCCGAGACACTTCCGCGCGGGCCGAGGGACTCATCGGCCCCTCACATCCCGGAGGGACGGCGCACGCGCTGCCCAGTGACCGGGCGGGTCGGACCCGACTAGGAGCGGCCCCAGCCGGGCGGAGAAGACCATCCCACTCGCGGTGCGTCGCACCGGCCGGTCCGGTTTTCGTCTCGAGCGGGTGGGTCGCGAGACGGCCGCGAGAGCGAGCACCGCGGTCACAGTGCCGTGGAGGCCACGGACGTCGCCGGAGCGGCACTCCCGGGGCGCCACTCCCTCACCCGGTCGGGGGGGGCAACCACAGCCCGCCTCACCGTCCGTGGAGCTTCCGTGGTCCGCTGTTCCGGCTTCGATTTTCGACCCTCCCGAGGCTGCTAGAGCAGCCCCGCGGAGCCTCCCGGATGCACCAGCACACCGTCGTCCAGGACGACGGCGCAAGCGCTGCCCAGTGACCGGGCGGGTCGGCCCCGACTAGGGTCGGGCCCAGCCGCGCGGAGAAGACCACCGAGCTCGAAACACGTCGCCACGGCCGGCCGTTTTGCAAGCCTGAGCGGGTCGCCAGACACCCGCGAGAGGCAGCAGCTAGAGCGCCGTCGTAGCCGCATGTCGAGTCGAGGGGCTTGATGTCCACGGTAGCAGTTGTGGAGAGCGGTGGGGCGGTGCGTGTAGAGGGGTCGATCGAGGGCTCTTTTTCGAAACGCGACGGGTACGGCTTGACAACTGCCAGCACAGTTTTACGCCGGCCAGCGTGAGAGCAAAACAGGGAGCCGGCGACCCGTACGCTTTGCGCGTGGCGACCGGTGGCTGTCTGGAGCTCGTGCGAGCTGGTCCAACGCGTGGCCGAGCCGAGAGGACCAGCGAGCGACCACATTGGCGATGAAAGGTTGGCGGCCAGCGCCTCGTCGCCAGACGTCACAGCGGCGTGGACGCAGGAGTGTGCGGCGACGAGTGCCGGCAAATCCGGCCCGGTGTGGCCGGCAGCTGCCTAGCGCTGGCCTGTGGCCGGCGCCGCGGTGGCGGAAGAGGCGTCTCGCCGCCGTGGCGGCGGTCGGCAGGTGCGAGCGTGATGGCCATCGTGCGGCAGAGTCCGGCCACAGATTTCTCAAGAACCACCTTTGGACACGTACCCCCCGGCCGGCCCCGGAAAATTGTCCCCAGGCGCAGTTATTGTTATGGTGTTATGGCTCTCGGGGCATAGCAGCCCATAACATGTTATGGGCTGCTATGAGAGAGCCGTCCCGGATCCACGGTGTTATGGCCCGAGACGCAAGCGAGGCCACACCGAACTGCTCGCATAAAGCCGTACCGCGGCTCCGGGCCACTCGAACTAAGGTAAGGTAAGGTAAGGTAAATTTCTCCACACACACAAGTGGTGGGGGCAAGGGATGGCGAGCCTCGCATCTCCACACCTGGACACGGGCAGGAGCCCCACGGCATTCAAAGTGCAAGCACTGGCCCGGTGCACGTGGGTGAGCAGCCTTAATAAGTGTATCGGTAAGAATCTAAGGGCGATGCGAACACACACTAACTATTCGGCTGACAACCCTTGCCGGGTTGCGTCGGGTGCGTCCGACTCCAGCGCTGCATTGAGCGCCGCCATGGACAAGAGCATCGCCTGCTTCCTCGGCCGTTGGCACATGGCTGCCGAGGAGAGTGTTGAAGCTTGGCCTTCAGCGCCTCCATCTTCTGGTTGCACTTCCGAATCATGGCAAGCTCTTCAGGCAATAACGCGCTGTCGTCCTCCGAGCGGTCGGGCAGCGGCAGCGGAGTAAACTCTGAAGAACCCCGCCCTCGGTGGCTGACCTTTCTCTTCTCCACACCCGCATCAAGAGGCACCGCAGGGGTAGCCGCGACCAGGCTTCGCTCCTCGATCGCATTGTACAGCAGGACGACGTAGGTCGTGATTGAACGGCCGTCGGGGCCGAGCGTTTTTGATCTCTGGGTCAGTGGGCGCCCGCCCGCCGCCTCTGAGGGGGTCGGGCCCCCTAGACTGAAAACAAAAACAAAATGCAGAAACAGTCACAAACAGCCTGCGAGAGCGGCGCTGCGCGCCGCCTACCTCGTGCGGGTGTGAGTGACCCCAAACGGTCGTCTGCATCCAAAAACGGTCGTCTGCATCCAAAAAACAAGCACATGCACAACAACAACATGTACATGTGCATACGTCCTATGGCGCTTTGCGCTGGTCTATGAAAGGTTTGAGGTGCGAGCGCCCTGGAGGCCCTGGGGATGGGGGGAGACTACCCGCGGGCCTAGAAGGCCCGCGCGCAGGGGGGGTGGGGCGGCGGAGGTGGAGGTGGCGGAGGCTCGGCGAGCACGGCTGGGAGCGGCAGAGGGTTCAGGATCCGGGCAAGCGCGGATCTGAGAAGAGGGGTGGCTTTGGTTGGTCACGATCGGGACGGATGACACGTCTGCGGTCATCCTCGATTCCTGTTTGTTGAAAAAACATGTGTTGGTTGCGGCGATGGTCACGCACCCGCGCAGCGCCGGCTTTGAGCCACGCGCCTCGACCTTCAGAGGCGCGTGCCCCTTCCGGCATGGCGCCGAAGGTGCCCGTCGTCGTTCGCGTCGAGCTTGGCAAGAAGCATCACCGATCGGGCCGCATGCACGAGGCGGAGGTGGCTCTCTCCCTTGTCGTCAGCGACGCACTCGAGAGAGCCGAGCCGGAGATTGCTGCTGGCAAGCTCACGGCCAGCACCGTCAAGTGCTTTCGGACGACGGAGTTTTCCGGCACCGTCCTCGACAACAGTCGGCATTCTGCGAGACATGTTTGGCTGCAACATCAAAGTGCTGGCGACCGCCGAGGATTCCCCTGCTACCCCCGGCATGCGTCCAAATGCGATGACGCGACTCATGCAAACCCAGGCCGAGACGCCGAGGGCGCTGCCGCCTGCGCCCGACGGCGACCGCTACGATTGCCGCCTCCTTCGCGCGCTGCTGTCGAACTTGCAGCGAGACGGCTTGAGCTTTCCAGTCCTCGATGCGAATGCCTCGGGCCAGCGCATTCTCTCTGCAATCGCGGCGGGTCTGCAATACGTGCTTCCGTTTGACGACTCCGATCCGAGCCCGCTGCGACTGGCAGGCCGCGTCCACCTCGTCGTGCCACGCCGCTTCAAGACGGAGGCGCTCAACAATGAGACTCCTTCGGAGGACCACCACGGCGCAAAGCCATTGGACTCGCGCCTCTCGGCCAAGAAGCTGCGCTCGTACGGCGAGGCCATTGCGGGCTTCATTGGCTGCGCAACGGCTCCTCCCCCCCCCCCTTCTCCGCTGAACTGCTTGCTGCTGCTGCTCGCTTTGTCCCAGGAGCCTGGTGCTTGTGTCTAATCGTAGTGGGGGCCCTGGCCCCCCTCTGTTTTCTGTTTTCTGTTTTTCAAAACGCCCGCCCGCCCGCCACCCCGAGGTGGCTCGGCCCCCCACTGACCCAGAGATCAAAAAACGTCGGCCCGGGCGTGGGTATGTGGCCATCATGTCCTCCACATCAAAGAGCCGCTCGACCTCGAGCCTCCTCTCAGCGACCCCAAAGGAGAGCTCAAGGAACAAAGTTGCGTGTGCGAGCGCAGCTCTGTGGCGTCGCACCGTTGATTGAGAGATCCAAAGCGGATATCGCGGCAACCGCCAACCCCCGTCTACGAAAATGCAACGTTTGCACGTCCCTCGCAGTCGCGCACACACACCGCACACTTTCACAACTGCTCTCCTACACACGTGCTGTAGAGCCGTACTGGTCATCGGGTACAGACCATGCCGCGGCTGAGCGCCCGGGCACAAGAGGAGGGCGCAAGGGGAGGGGAGGGCAACGCGGGGAGGAGCGTCACAACGCAGCAGTGGCTGCTGCGCCGAGACGAGAGCGGAGGGCAGTAAGGGCGTCTGCGCCCTTACCGGGAAGAGGGCGACAGAGGGGGGAGGGAGGGGAGGGAGGGGAGGCGAGAGCGAGAGCGAGGGAGAGCTCGCCGGCGTCGCCTCCGCCGGTCGCGGGAGCTCACTTGTACTTCGACTTTGCGACCGAATAGAGGAAGGTGCCGGCGACGGCGATGGCGGATCCGGCGGCGCCGATGGGGGTGAGCTTGTTGCCGAAGACGAGGACGGTGGCGAGGATGATGCAGACGCGCTTGATCGTGTTTGCGATCGAGTGCGTGATCGGTGAGACCTGGTCCAGCGCGATGAAGGCAACCTGCCGGTGGGGGAGGGGGGAGGGGCGGGGGGGTGTTGAGGAGGGGGGGGGAGGTTGAGGGCCCTGTTGTGGTAGAAGCTCGTCCCGGCTCCCCTCGGCTCCCCTCGGCTCCCCTCGGCTCCTCTCCTGTATCCCGGCTACTCTGTGGCGCCTCGTTGTAGAGGTAGTAGTAGAGTCCGTCCAGGGCCATCTGGCGGGTGAGCCAGAAGGAGCCGACCTTTGCCGTGGAGGCGGCCCACTGGGAGGCGAAGGAGGCTCCCTCGTAGTAGACGGCGAAGGGGAGGGAGAGGATGAAGGCGATGATGGTGAGGACGCCGTACAGGTTGGGCGCGTTCATGTTCTCCCCGACCGGCTTGTCCATCGTCTTCTTGGAGAGGACCTGGCGGGGGCGCAGAGGGGGGGAGGACTGCGTCACAAGGCACCGCCCCGACGGCCTGCCGCCCGCACTCGCCCTCTGTGGCGGCCACTAGTTCTCGGCGGAAGTCGGCTGTCGCGGCTAGATGTCGCGGCTAGATGTCGCGGCTAGATGTTGGCTATTTGTCGGCCAGGTGTCGGGGAGGTGTCGGGGAGGTGTCGGCTAGATGTCAGCTAGATGTCAGCGGTCACCGCGCGGGAGGCGAAGGCGACGTTGGAGGTGAGGGCGCCGTACAGGGCCTTCATGGTGAAGGAGAGCTCCTTGAGCGACGCGAGCGAGACGCCGACGATGATGGGCAGCAGCGAGGCGTACACTTGCCACTTGAAGACTGTGCCGAGCACAAAGAAAGACAGCGCGCAGGTGAAGAGCGGCTCGGCGGCCTTGACGGTCTGGGCGAAGGAGACGGCGCCGGCGCCGAGCGCGATCACCGCGCCGGCGTGGCCGAGGGCGTGCGCCGCGCCGATGGGGAGGAGGGTCTTCCAGCCGTCCATGCCTGTGAGGCACGGGCCGGACGCGTCATGGACGTGGCACGGCGACAGCCCCGGTCTTCCCGCCCATCCTCGCCGATCTTAGGAGGCTTGCGGATGCCGGTGCCCCAGAGGAAGAGGACCCACGGGATGCCGACGAAGAGCGAGACCACCGTCATCGTCCACGGCATCGGGAACGCGTTCTGGCACCGCTTGTTGGTGATGTTGTACATCACGTTGAGAAAGTACCACGAAAAGAAGAGGAAGCCTTGCGGCAAGGGGGGGGGGGGGGGGGGGGCGGAGGCGTGTGCGTCGAGGGGCAGTGCGGGGGCGCGCGAGCCCGACGGGCGCCGAGGGCGGGCTGTCACCTCGCGGTGTGGCCCGCGGTGTAGTGAGTGGGTGGGGCTGCGGTGCCGGGTGCCGGGAAGAGGGGGGGCGCGGGCGGGCGGGCGCACCAAGCTTGGCCTTGTCGACGAGGGCCTGAGGGGCGCTGATCTTGCCAGCCTCCCACGACAGGAGCGTGCACTCCTCGACCTCCTCGCCCGTCTCGATGCACAGCTCCTCCGCGGGCGGGGCAGCGGCGGCCTCCGCCTCCTGCATCAGCGCGAACGGCGCACGGCGCAGTACGGGCGCCGCCGCGACCGGGCGAAGCGGCGAATAGGCGCCGCGGAGGGGAGCGTGCATCGGCGCGAGGGCCGCGCTGGCGTGAAGGAGGGAGAGCATCATGTTGCAGAGGAGGAGGACCTGCGGCGGGTGGCGTAAAGTACGGTGGCGGGGAGGCGCCCCTGCTCACTCCTGGGCGCATGGGCGCGAGCTGCGCGGAGCGTGTGTGGGCTGTGGCGCAGCGCGTAGCGCGCTCTCTCCGCCCGGGCGACGTGGCTCAAAGCTGTGTCTCACTGTGTCACGATTACCTCTGAGGGCGGCCAGTCGACAGCGTCTGCGTGTAATCGATGGTACGAGAGTGTTTGGGAAGCGTTAAAAGACGTGGCAGTTGTACGGCGATCTCCGATTCATAGCTCCGCGGACCCCCTCCTGTGGGCCCGACTTCATCGACACGGACCTCTCCCTCTGGAAGGGCTCCCTCCTGCGGCAGCCTCGAGCTGGTGGCGTGCGACGGCGACTCTGGCGGAACGTGCAGCGGCGGTGACTACCGGTACAGCTCCATCATCGCGGACTCGGGGCCGGTGCTTCGACGCAGCACAGCTGGTGTGTGTGCTTCGTGATAGCATGAACTCAGAACGGCCCCCCGAGAGCGCCTCTTCGACGCCCACGGGTCCCGGGGGGTCGGAGGGGTTGCGGAGGGCCCCGGCTATTTTTTGTTTGAATCCCGGAGGCCGTTCGAACGTGTAACGTGCGTTCCTCGTGCCCGTCCCCAGCAAGGACAACATGCTAGCCCAGCAGGCCGCTCCCACCGCCGCCCGCGGCGGAGGCAAGGCGGCAAAGGGTGGCAAGGGCGGCGGCAAGGGCGGTGGCAAGGGTGGTGGCCGTGGCGCACCAGATCCGCTTTGCGCCGCCGCCCTCAACGCCCGATATACTCGGTTAGAGCCGGCGGAGCGACGGCGGCAGAGTTGCGGCCGCCGGCGACCTCACACGGCGACCTCACGCAAGACTCTGGACCCTCGAGCTGCCTGAATGAAAGGGCCCCTCCCCTGCACATATACGGCTTGTTGTGCGAGTATATATATTTGTGTCCATGCTGGAGCGTAAGCCTGGGGGTGAAGGGCATGTTCAATCGAAGACTCACTCAACTCTCAAGTCACAAGTGTCGTACACTGACTTATTCACTTATTACTAACTAACGGTCGTACCACAGCCGTCTCTCAAAAGTCAAATGTATGCCCAGTGTCCCCCAACCAGAAGTAGCAGCCTCCATCATTGCACGTGGGCGAGAGGACGCCGGGCACCACCGCGAAGAGGCGGAAAAAGGTGTGGACGGGCGCGATGCCGCTTGGTGGCATGCTCGCAGCGGTGCTTGAGGATGGCGACGCTGAGACAATGGCCACAAACGGTAGCCCGCGCGCCATTTCGAAGGGGACGCATCCCGTCGCTTTGCGATAGAAGACGCCGTCGATCTCCTCCGTCCCAGGAAGGCGCTCGCTCAGATCCGATGTGCGTTTGAAGTGGCACACGCGTCTTGCGCCGCTTGCAGCCTCGTGCTTGGCTAGCCCATGCAGGCCAAGCGCGTGCTTGGTGGCGACACGCAGCGCTGGGCTCAGGCCCGCCTCAGCAAGGCCGAGGCTGCGAGCACTCGCATTGATGTAGAGCGCCATCTCGTCGACGTAGTGCTCGTGCGTATGCAAGTAAGACCACGCGAGGGGAGGTGCGTTCACGAGGAAACGCCCTTCGCGAAAGAAGGCGCTCGTCTGATTCGACGGCACCCCATAAGTCCCGGGGTAGCCAGGGTGACGAATTGGCAATGGTTGCACGACGAGCCTGAGCTGCGTCAGCGCCTGCAGTTTTTCTCCCTGTGAAGTTAGCCTCCTCGAACTCTGCGATTCAGTGGCCACTGGCCTTTGGGCTGCGGCGACTGGGAGCGGTTCAGATGTCGCGGGCTCAGATGTCGGGGGGGGGGCGTGCCGTATGCTCTTGAGCGCGATCACCGCCCAGTGCGTCAGAGGTGGGCTTCCCGCAGTGCGCACGTCATTGATATCGCAGTCGACACTGAGAGGCGTTGTCACCCACTGCACGTGCCCAGGTGCGTGGCGACGCACGAGGCACGCCACGCCTCCATTATGGGCGTGACACTGGTCATCGCCATGTGTTATGAGCCCGCCAGCAAACCAGTCGGCCTTGTGCTCTTCAACATGAAAGTGGTGCTGGTGCAACGGAGGGTATGGCAGCAGCTTGCCCTCAGTGGACGTTGAGCCTAAAAAGTACTCGCTTATTGCGAGGCGGGTACCCGGCGCGTGCCGCGAATGGAGCGCGGGTAGCTGCACCTGTCAAAAGAAAAAAAATGGGAAGGAGGAGACCAGCGGGGGAGACTCCCCGCCTATGCAACACCCCAGAGAGGGGCTGCCATCGCCGAAGCTGTGCCTAAGCATAACTCCCAAACCCGCAGCGGCCCGGGGGGCCTTGGTTGGGGGCAGCCTGCCGGACCGTTTGTTGCACGGGGCTAAGCACCGGAAGATGAGTGTAGTTGATGGATCGGGCTGTCGACCGTGCCTCCCCTCTTTTCGCCAGAGTGGGACCTACGCCGCGCCGGGTAGGGGGCGCGCCCGGTCCTCGACGGAGCCGCGCGCCCCAAACGACCCAGGCGGCGAGTAGTCGTCGTCGAACCTTCGGCACGTAGTCGCCCGTGGTCAGCGCCCTTCCTCCCCCGCCCGTCCCTATTCGTATTGCACCCGAGGCGCCCGTGGCATCTCGCTGCCCTTGGAGCACTTGGAGTGCAGTCATTAACCGCACATCCAGGGCCGGGGAGCTCAGAAGCGCACCCAGCGGGCCGGATGATTGGCATCGGGTTGCGGGCAAGAGAGCCCTAGCCCCGGGGGTGCGCGTTCGCAGGGCAAGGGCCTTAAAGTAAACACAGTTCTCCGAGAGGGCTCCGTGTACCGGGTTTCCCCTTAACTGCAGAACGCCCCCTCTACTCGGAGCTAGTGGACACGGACACTACGACACCACCCGTCACGTACACACACGACTGTCTAACTGCCCATCTAAATTCTTTCTTTGAATTCTTTCCCTCAGAGAGGCCTGGGGTGTAAGAATTCTTTGCCTCGGTGAGCCTGTGTGTGTGCCAGTCCGCGCCAGTCCGCGCCCTTGTCGTGCCAGTGTGCTGTGAGAGAGGCTTGTATTTAAGGTGGCAGTCCGGGTTCTGTGAAGAGGGTCGCTCGGGTCGAAAGCGAGCCAGTTCGCTCGCGACGCCGACGCCGACGCCGCCGCCGGAACGACCGCGGCGGCCGGTCGAGCGGCCGCCCCGGCCAGCGGCCGTATCGAGCCTGCCCGTCGCGAAGGTGTGGACCTCACGCGCCCCACCGGCCGCCCGCGCCGCCGCGCCCACGTCGCTCTCTCGAAGCCGAGCGCCACGCCGCTACGACTCCCATCGCGACGACTCCCGTGCTCGCTCCTGGCGCAGGCGATCGACTCCTGACACCCATCGAGCGGATGGGCGCGTTCCCGCCGCGACCCGGTACTCTCGAACGACTTTTGAGGGCAAAAGGTGCCGCTCGAGCCCATTCCCGCCGCCCGCCGCCCGAGATCAGCTGCCACCGGCCAGCGCGCGCGCGGAGACCTGCCGCGAGCGCCTCCGTGGCCCTAGCTGGGGTGATTAGCAAGCGCCTCGGCACTTTAGATTCGCCCCTCGGGCTTTTCCGCGCGCGTGATCAGTCTCGCGTTCTCTCCTTTTTCAGGCGCCTGTTTTCGGCCTCTGAAGAGCAACCGTCGAGGCGTCGATGCTCGCCTCCACGCCCGCGCCAGACCTCCGCGATTGGGGCGCCTTGTCGACGGGATCAATTGTGATTCCGGGCGCATTTTTCTGGCATTTAACTCGCACGTCGGCGACTCTTAGTCGCTTCTCCGTGCTAGGAGGCCTCTGTTTTGTGTCCGTGAGGACTAGATCGAAACTAACATTTCGGCACATTTCAGTTAAATACCAGAAAAATGCGCGTTCACTCACAATTCATGTGTATATGAACGGTGCCGACGGGTTTGGCGAGCATCGAAGCCGTCCAGGCGCAGCAACGCGACGGTTTCGGAGGCCGACGGCTCCGAAAGAGCCTCCCGAGCGAGGCCGGCGCGGTCACGGTACCATGGAGGCCACAGACGTCGCCGGAGCGGCACTCCCGGGGCGCCACTCCCTCACCCGGTCAGGGGGGGCCAACCACAGCCCGCCTCACCGTCCGTGGAGCTTCCGTGGTCCGCCGCTTCGGCTTCGATTTTCGACCCTCCCGAGGCTGCTAGAGCAGCCCCGCGGAGCCTCCCGGATGCACCAGCACACCGTCGTCCAGAACGCCGGCGCACGCGCTGCCCAGTGACTGGGCGGGTCGGCCCCGACTAGGGGCGGGCCCAGCCGCGCGGAGAAGACCATCCCACTCGCGGTTCGTCGCACCGTCCGCTCCGGTTTTCGTCTCGAGCGGGTCGTGAGACGGCCCAGGGCTGGTGGACTAACATGAGCACACCTCAGGGGCAGCACTGACTACAGATCGTGCCAACACTTGGCGCAAAGGTCGGTGTTAGCACAGTCGAACGGCAGTCCCAAAACAAGCGTTAGCACAGCCGTTGACACGTGTGGCACACCCTCCGGGTAAAACCCGGGTATACCTGCAAAAAACCAGGTATACCCGAGAAATACCTGGGTCCGCGTCAATGCCGCGCGCCCCCTACTCCCAGGGCCACTGCGCCAACTGCGGCGCGCACCGCCTGCTCAAGTACGCGCACCGCACCATGTGCGCTCGCTATCGGTGCCAAAAGGCAGCATCGGCGCTGCGCCAGGCACGGCTTGCAGGTGGCGGTGCGGACGATGCGGTCGTGCCGACATTCTGCTTCAAGATTGAGGCGGTGCTCGGCATGCGCTTCTGCGAGCCCGAGCAACTCATCGCAAAGAAGCGGCGCAACAGGCTGGCTGCTGCCGACAAGGCCGTGTGCTGCCTCACGCGAGGCACCTTCAAAGAGGACAGCAATGACGCTGGATTCACCGACACGCGCTGGGTGGAGCTCGAGGAGCTGTACGAGAACTGTGGCAAGACGCCGCTGAAGAATGCGCTCAAGAAGCACCGAAAGGCGGAAGAGGAGGATGTGGATGCAGCGATTGCCGACTTTGAGGAGGGCGTCGAGCACGAGGGATAATAATAAATAGGCGCATTTGGGATGGCTGGGGACGCCCATGGGACATGTTCGCAATCGCAGCTGCGCGGGTGTGAAGTGAATATGCTAGATGCGCGTTCTTTACACACTAAAACAAATGGCAGCAACAGCCCCTCCCCTCCC